CAAAGTCTGAATACTCCCAAGCACTGAAGTCCTGGATTACAGTTAACACATTGGTCTCAATACCTTTGTATCTCCTATCTGTGACAAGGAAAAGTGACAACTGGAAATCTGCAACAAGAGCAAACCTCAAAGTATAATGGTGCTGCAGGGCAGCTGGCTCATCAAACATTCAGTATCCCTTGTTTTAAGCTGCTTGGATGGAGTCACATCCCCTCTGCTGAAATTTCACCACAGGATGGGGTGGAACAGGTGAGGCAGCTCTGAGCAGCGCTGTCCTGTTTCTGTGGAAGCCCTGGGAGTGTTTGCACAGCCAGGGAAGGCAGGCTTGGCAAATACCTCCCAGCAGGACCTGCCTGGTGAAACCTGCAGGTGTTTGTGCCCCAGGCACCAGTGCTGATGTCCTGCTCTGTGCCACAGGCCACTGGTGCTGCCACACTGAGTGCACCCAGGCCCCAGGAGGGCAGTGCCTCCTCCCCACTGTGAAAAGGCCAAGAAACCAACCCCAAACTACAAAATGTCCACAATTAATTCATCTCCCCAGCCCCCTTTTTTCAGTGTGGGTGGGTGGGGTGAGTTGAGTTGGTTTTTCACCCCTGGAAGGATGTGATCTATCTTGTGGTGTTGTATTCCAAGGAAGAAGCCCTCTGAATTTATAAGCTGTTTTCACAGGTAGCACAACCTACCTTGGAATATCTGTATCCATTTATAAGCACTTGGGAATGCTTGGGAAGAGCATGGCACGCTCCTCACAGGTGGCATCAGACAGGTCTGTGGCAAAGAAACCTGTATGGATGTTTTAAAAATTAATACAGTACCAGAACAGGTATGATTAAAATGAGAGCAGATGGTACTAACAAAGTAAGTGAAAAATAGGGATGAAAAGGCAGATTTCCTTTGGAATAAAATCAGCACCTGGGTTCCAGCTCCCTGTGGCAGCTGCCAGCAGGACAGGGGAGCTGGCAGGATAGGGGGTGCTGATCAGGCTCAGAGCTGGCCAGCAGGCAGCTCCTACATCTCTTGCTTTCTGACCACTGACAGAGTAAATGCAAAACAAGTGGTTGCTTCTAAATGGGACAGACAATATCTGATTTATGAGAAAGATTTCTTTGGACCTTTTCTTGTACAAAATCCTGTGTTTCTTTCCCTTCTCTTGTCATTTTACTGCCACACACTGTGATGTTCAGGGGACCTGGGCTCATTATTATACTTGTTTTGCATTTCTCTTTTTTTTTTAAGTAAAAAATGTACTGCATGTCACAGCTGGAGACATGGTTAATATTTAGGAACCATGCTGGATTAAACTTCTTTTAATAGAAGTGTTGGGTGTCTTTACTTACTTGAAGACCTGATTTTGCTGCTTTGCCTCTGCCCAGCACAAGGGACAGTGACTTCAGGAATCATAAGTCTGCACTGGGCAAGGGGCACAGCTCAGAGCCAGCCCTGGGTACCAGCCACAGGACAAATCTTCCTTAGGGCATGAGATGAAAAAATTAACCAAGAATTTATTCTAACTATTGAGTAGACATTGTGGATTCACTGCTCTTTCTTTGCAATACAATAACCCTGTAAACAACAAAATCCCCTTCAGGTTCATCCTTCACACACCAAAAATATACTGAGGTTTTCTGGTCATTTTTTCCATGTTGGTTAAAGTAAACAGACAGCATACAAAATGTTCATTAGTTGCTTCAGGACTGCTTTAGCAGCTTGCAGTGAGGTGCCTGCCCAGAGAATTTCTTTACTGCCTTTTCAGTCCTGATGACTCAGATTATTTCAAAGCAGTTTGCTTTGCTTGCTCCCAGGGTCAAGCACTTCTGTAAGATCCCAGCCTTTTATTAAAAAATACCTGTTCCTGTGACTGAAAGAAAACATGGTTCTGTATTTTAGGGATATCATTAAAATGAGATTTAAAATAATTACTTCAAAGCCAGTTTGGATTGGGGTGGAAGGGGCTGATTCAGTATTCTGTCCATATTCTGCCACAAATACTGCACCAAGTTCAGGGTGGAAGGGGCACATGGAGGAAAAGTCAGCTTGGCATTTTGGGTTTTTTGTTTATTTGCTTGTTTTTCCTCAACTGACAACATAAAAAGGGTGCTGGGAGCACTCTGCAATTCACAAGACAAGCACAACATCCCATCTGCAGTGTGGAGCCCTTAACTGAGTGCTGATTTCAGTGGCCTCCTCAGACACCTCTTTCCAGTCACAATCACTCGTGTCCCATGGAGGAGCTGCTTCCAAAGCCCCCAGAGCCCAACCCCTGCCCTCATTGCAGCCACCTGGAGTTCCTGGGTCTGCCTGAGAAGCAGTTTCCAACTCCAATTGTGGACAAATCCTTGTAGGAGCAATGCTAGAAGTTCCATTACCTCAAAGCCACTGACAGGAAGGGAAAGTGCCACCTCAGGTAAGTTCACACAGCTCTCACCTGCCCGAAGGGCTCTCTCCCTCCTACCAAGCTTTTACAGTTCTCTGTGGACTTGTTCTGACTTGTGTAGTGATTTTTGGACAGGTGACACTAAGAAGTTCAAAAGACCTTTCCAATGAATTCAGATACCTTTCCAAGTAGCTGTTTTAGATTCTGACTGAAGCAAGAGGCTCTGTTATCCTTTGAACACTGTCTATTACTCCACCTAACTGTGCTTTTCACTTGATACTGTTTGAAGTTCCTCTAGTCTTCAATTTCCATCTGACAGAGTCACTTCCAGGATGCCAAGGAAGAGCAGAGCATCTCAGTGCTGTGGTGGTGGAGAACAGCCTGGGGTGCTGGAAAGCAGAACAGACCTGGATGCTCTGCTCAGCAAGCCCCTGGTTCCACTCACTGTCCTTCTGCTAAGGATGTTCACTGGGCACAGTTCTGATCAGAAATAATAGCACTGAATGGCTTCACTCCAGATTTGCACCAGAATACAAACTGCCCTCCAAGGGCAAATGCCTCATGTGCAGCACATGCACAGCAGCCCCACCTGGCCATCCTTTAATCCTCAGAGAGGATGTATCAGGGAAGCAAAAGAAATTTAGGTAAACACTGTGAATGTGAATCTTGTTAAAAGATGCTTGAGACACCTTTGTGCATGGAGTATTAGCTTAAAAATCAGGATCTTTAAAAAGTCAGGAATAAATAAACAGGAGTGCATCAAAGAATCCACACTGTGTCACAGATACTCACCCTAGGAGTTTGCTGGAAGAATTCAGTGTTCTGTGTTTTGTAAAGCTTCCAGGCCAGAAAGTAAAACAGTGCTACCCAGAAAATTTAAGTGTGGTTTTGTCTGGGACTTTGAGGAGAAGGAGTTTGGGTGGAGGATTTTGGTTTGCAATTGTTAGGTTTGGGGTTTTTTTTGGGGGTTTTTTTTTTTTTTTTTGCTTGGTTGGATTTATTTTTGGTTTGTTTTTTTTTAATTCTATTGCTTTTGTGGGGTATTGTTGATTTTTTGGTTTTGGTTACTTTTTAAAAATAAGTCAATTTTTAAATCCACTTCCATGAAGAGGAGAATGCTGATTCTAATGTTAATTTTCACCAGGAAATACTTGTCCTTTTCTTTTATGGATTTTGGCCACAGCTCATCACATTTTGTTAGCATGATCCATGAATAACTTGATTACAGTCTTCCTGGGAGACTGAAGGAAGATCACTATCTAAAAGGTAGACAAAATAATTTTTTTTTTTAAATTTGACAGCTGATGAAGCTTCTCCTGACCCAGGAGCACCACGGATACCACCCTGGGTAATGGCACAGTGCTGCTGACAGCCCCACACAGGCTAAATGACCTGGCCCCTTGTAAGAGCCTCTGGCTCCCTCAGGGAATGCTGCCCTTGTGTCACCCCCTGTGCCCCTCCCCGAGATGTTTGAGACACCTTTTCCCTCCCCAGTGCTCTGAGTGCAGCATCCACATTCCCACATCCCTTCACAGACTCACCCATCCCTCGTGCCTAAAGCACCTGGAAACCAAAAACCCCCCCAGCAAAACTTGCAGCCCCAGCCCGTGAGGCAGTGGAGTATTCCCCCTCTCTCTGGGGCATTTCGCCCCAAAATCCGTTTCCAATCCCAAATGGGCAGCTGCAGACCCCAGGAGGGAGCACTGCAGCCCACGGCAGCGCACCTGAAACGCTCCGAGAGCAGTTCCACCACCAGCAGGAGAGCAGAGGGGCAGTTCCACCTTCTCCCTGTCCCACCTTCTCCCTGTCCCACCTTCTCCCCGTCCCACCTTCTCCCTGTCCCACCTTCTCCTGCTCACCGCCCTCTCCCCGCGGCTCTCCCGCGCTTTCCCCGACTCCTGTCCCGGGCGTGTCCCGGGCCAGCCGCGGTGGGTGTTTGACCCGGGCCAGCCGCGGTGGGTGTTTGTTTGACCCGGGCCAGCCGCGGTGGGTGTTTGACCCGGGCCAGCCGCGGTGGGTGTTTGACCCGGGCCAGCCGCGGTGGGTGTCTGACCCGGGCTGTCCCCCACACAAGGAGCTCTGAGCCCCGCACCCACAGCACCCCCGGCGCTGCCGCCGCCTCTGGGGCGGTTCACCCTCAGGCAGGGCTCGCTCTCCTCACACCAGCGGGATCCGCCAGAGAACGGGGAGGAGAAAAGCGAGAAAACTCCTGTGGTGAGATAAAGGCAATGTAATGGGGAAAGCAAAAGCTGTGCACACAAGCAAAGCAAAACAAGGAATTAATTCCCATGGGCAGGAAGGTGTTCAGCACCTCCAGGAGAGCCACAGGGCCACAGCCCCTGAACAGTGACTTGGGAAGACAAAGTCCAGCACTCCAAACATGCCCCGTTCCTGCTTCTTCCTCCCTCCATATTCTGATGCCATAAGGCACGAGATACCCCAGTGCTCAGCTGGGGTCACCTGTCCTGACTCTGTCCCCCACAAGGGGCAGGAAAGGCCTTGGCTCTGGGCGAGCTCAGCAATAACAAAAACATCTCTGAATTATCAACACACATCCAAAACAGCCCCACACAGCCCTGGAAGAAAATTACCCCAGCCCAGGCCATGTTTACAGATGAAGACACTGTTTTAGTACTTTAATGTGTCCATTTATTAAACAGGAAGTCCTTCACAAATGATTCCGTACTATATTGATTGGGATAAGTGTTAGAAAACTACCATTTCTCCTACATACAAAAATACAGACTTTTAACACTATGAAGAATGATCAGAAGAGTACCGTGAAAACCCAGAGAGCTCAAATCTTCCAATAACAGAAAGAAAAGACAGAAAGACAACTAAGTAAAAAAAAAAATTACAAAAAGTATTGTGCCCATATACAAAAGACTGGAAAAATGAAATTGCATTTAAAACTGATAAATACACCATTTAAATTATGCTGCAACAGCATGGATTTTAAAACAAAGACTGCTTTGTATTGCAAGACTTTACAATTCTTCAGCTTGTGTTTTTTGATTAGCACAGACACCAAAGAAAGAACAACTGAAAGATGGTTACTGGTGTAGAAACAAGTACACAAGGAGGTTGTGTTTTCTTGTAGAGTACCTTGCCTTTGAGCTTGGTCACCTTTCCCACCCAGAGCTGGCAGCTGCTGCTCTGCCAGCACTGAGTTCCAGCTGTGGGCACACAGAAGGTGCTCCCAGCTGGAAGCACCACCTGGAGCAGCTGCTGCAGCTCCAGGCTCTGCAGAACAAGGGGAAATGCTCCAGGGCTGTGACCTGTCTCCAGGGGAATGTGCTGCCTGCTGAACCCTTCGGTCCTGCAGCAGGATCTGGGGCCCAGGGGAGCCCTGGCCCGCAGCCCCAGGGCAGGACAAGAGCCGGGTGCTGCCCTCGCACCACTCAGAGATGCACCAAGGCTTCTCCAGGACAGAACACTGCAGGATCTACTCCAAAAGCAAAGTACCAAGGTATTGCACAGTGGACTTCTGCTCATGATAAAAGGAAAATTGTATCCCCTTTGCTCAGCCTGAATAGAATTCTAACCTGGTGTTTCCGTAATACCGCTGAGCTGTTTGCAATTACAAACCTGTCAATGCAGCACCTGTAACCCAGAGACATAAAATCTTTCGGTCAGGCCTGGATGCTCCCTCCTCAGAAGCTGCAAATCATAAATTATGAACTAGAATTGGAATGTTTGGATTAGGCTGCAGAGTCTGTCTAGAGGAGCCGGGGTCAGCCCTGAGGATACAGATAACCCACACGGAGCATCCCTCCACAAGGCCCAAGGAAGGGAACCTGGAGCACCAGGAATGTGCTCAGGGGGCAGAGCAAAGGAGACACAACCTGTGATTCCCCAGGGTCAGATCCAGTGCACACAGGGAGAGAAGGCAGCGACCACAGCAGCCATAAACCTGGTGTTGGTGAGAACAAAGCACAGCGAGGCCAGAGCTGCGTTAGTGACTCACATTACAAAAATAGTGTTTACTGGATTCATAAATTTACATCTCTATTCCTGTCAATGACAAGTGTTAGTACCACACATGGAAGGCACCCTAGGTGAAGCAGTTTTTCCGTATTTGTTTACAATTCTGTGAAAAGACATACAAAGTGTCAACTTCCAAATCGAATTTGAGCATTATAATGAGAAATAAATATATACTTTACTATTTTATTGTGGGTTCCTGAACCCTTACAAACTTCAACATATACAAATAGTTTCAAAATGACACTAACACAAAAGAGAGTAAGTCTAGACAGATACAATGATTAGCTAAGTCATTTGTCCTATTATGTCATAAATGTTGTGTCTTAAGTATAGAAGTCATTTTAAAAAGCAATAAATTGGTGGCAATATATACTTCAAAATATTTTCTTACTCCAGGACTGTGATGCATGAGTTAAAGCTGGATGAGCTGTAGTGCTAAGACACTCCCCCCCACAAGATCCAACACTAGAAACTGGTAAACATTCAAGATTAAACTAGAAACAATAGAAAAATGAAGGTAGCAATTGTTGTAATAAAAGGGTGCTAGCCAGGACCACTTTAACCTGCAGACATCAAGATAGCTGGAACATCACTACAAATTTTTAGACAACACTACTTTTGGGATTAAAAGGGTACCAAAAGTGATAAATCAGCCTAGTTAAGAGAGGATGTTTTCTTCCAGACACATGAAGGTTCTAATTAAATAGGTCTATTGAGACATTTGTCCGAAGCAAAACAATACAATACCCTGAAATTTCCTGTGCTCTAGACAATAGCCTGTGACAGTCAGAAGAGGCAGATGCTCATGTTCCATTCTGTTACTCACATCCAGATGTTATTAAAATAGCTGCAGGGACCAGCCCCAATCAAAAATAAGAACGCCCCCAGATACTCTGTAAAACAATCTGGCTATTGCTTTTTAAATGCTCCTATGTCCTAGTTCTGAAGCCATGAAGAAAGTTCCCATATTCTTCCATAAATGCCAACTGACTTTTTAAAGTTTTACCCCATGAAGTCCATGGGATACAGATAAAACCTTCATAGTAAACACAAAGCTCTATGTTATAAATATGTCAATCAAGGTAACTATGTATATTGTATATAAAATTAAATATCTTCTGTTTGCCAAGTATAATTTAAAAAGGAATATCTGTGGGTAGTTATAAAAAAATATTTATTAACCCATAGAGATTAAAAAGCAATTTCACTAACTAGTCCATCCAGCCCATAAGAAAGAGCTGCACTGGGATTCTGGATAGGTTACTTTATCTAATCACATTCCTATGATAAATAGACAACTTTCATTTCTGGGCATATATAAGAACACTTCTGAAAGCTGCATATTCCAAAAGAAAATTAGATTGTGTTGTATACTCTAAATTAGGCTACCAGAAATCACAGTGTAAGCAGATTTTTTTAAAAGACTATTTTTAGCATACAAATGGTTAAATTATAGACAGATCTTTAAAATACAACACACAAAAAAAAACCCAAAAGCAAAACAAAACAAGAACAACAAAAAAAACCTAAAAAACAAAAAACAACAACAAAAAAACCACCCAAAAACACAGAAAAAGGGAAAAAAAAAAAAAAAAAGGGAACCCTTTTTCAGGTTGGACAGCACCACTCTGACTTGGTCAAGCAGATCTATCAAGGTGGCCAAGTAGCTGACAGGGAAAATAATATACCAGAAAAACTCTCTAAAATGTCATTCAGAGATTTCCAGACTATTTGTATAAATTCATTTTAACCAACTCCCTCTGTCAAAATAGAGAGGAACAGGGCAACATTTCTACAAAGTATTTTCACACATTCCGTGCATTTTTGTACTGATTTCAGGATCATTTTAAAATGCTTTTGTTGCCATTAAAACTCAACACACAGGACACCTCTATCTGCATATCTGCACAGTAATTCTGAGCTTTGCTGGCCTTCCAGACAATGAACAATCCATTATTTCATGCTACAAACAAGCCAAGTACTTGATTTTCAGAAATGCCAGACCCTGGCATTCCTCCTTCCCGTGGGACTGAGCAGGGACCAGCCTGGATCCCCCTCTGGAAGCTGAGTCTGGACAATCCCAGCCCATCACCCCCTGAGATCCCCATGACTGCTGTGGCCACTGTGGCTTCTTACTGTTCATGTCTCACTTTGAAAGCTCTGGATTGTCAAGTGTCCTCATATCTCCAATTCCTTATCAGACTCTGCCTTTTTATTATCCTGAATGCCTACTGAAGATTTTTGGCTCCAGAGCTTTCAGGACAAGAACTGTTCTTCATGCTCCTCCATGGACAAAGCTGTTCAGTATCCCAGCTGAGCAGGAGAGAGGATGTTATTTCCTACACTATCTGAACTGCTATTAAGTTTGTTTTCATTTTTTAATTATGCCCTAAAATCATTATTCTTGCTTATTTTAAATTTTTGGTGATTTTTTTTTCCTCACGAAAGAAAACAAGTAGAAATGATTACAACATGACATGAGACAAGAAAATAACAGATTCAGAAAGAGGCCTAAGGAAGAGAGGATTGCATTAATAAAGCCACAGATTAGGTAAGCATTTGCTGTGCCTGCACACCCTCAAGGCAACAGAGAGGTGACAAATACCAAATTCATTTAGGGACCTTAAAGCTCATGGAAAGCTGTCCCAGAAGAGCCCAGTGCAGCCTGGCGTGCACAGCGCTCCTTGGAGCAGTGGCTCTGCCCTGGTGGGAGGGCACAACAACCCACAGGGGAACACAACTGCTGCCTCCTCTATCTGCAAGCAGCAACGAAATACAGAGAGCTGAAACAACGCCATGAGACCAGAGTGACAGTGGAACACTGGGGAGTGTTTGTCACTCCAGGTGACAAACCAGTGGAAGAGCAGCACATGCTGCTCCTTCAATGAAATCCCAGGTAAAAGACACCTTCTAACTGGAAGATGAGGGGCTGCTGCCAAGGCACAGATCTTTGCTGATGCTGTGCTCCTGAACCCAGTGAGCAGCACAGACTGCACTCTCAGAGCTCTGGAGCCACTGCCTGTCTCTCGAAGGCACAGGGAGATCCCTCTCTACCCCTCCCCAGCTCCTACCAGAAACCTCAGGCAGCACCAGCCTTCCACAGTCCCACGGGAAAGAACACCCAGCCAACCTCCTGGGGAAAAGGAAGAGCACCACAGCTGAAATCATGGGATGATGGAGAAATTCTGGTCTTCCTGGCAGTGCACAGACCAACAAACAAGGCTTAGCAAGAATTAAATATTAAAGCATTTGATCCATTAGGCACGAATATTCCAAATGAAAGGAAAAGGTGGACAGGAAGAAGGAATTGGCTTTACTCAGACACAGGAGTGAGTTCCCCCGTGGCTTCAGGAGCTCCTGCTGGGGCTGTTTGCCCAGCTCAAGGACCTGGCCCAACCTCAGCTGAGGCTGAGGAAGTGAGCAGGAGAGCCAAACAGGTTCTCAGCACTGAGCAGCAGCTCCCATGCTGCTGCTCCAGGCAGAGCTCACTGTGTAACACCGTGATGTTTGTGCACAGGCTGCAGAACTCAGTCATGGCTACACCCAGAAACACACACAGACCCAGGTCTAAGGGCTCTCTTTGGCCAAAGGGGACTCATCCAAACTGTTACTGTCTCAAGCATCCTGCTCCTACCAAGTTCAACTGTTTGCTTTCATTTAGTTCTATTTACAGTGGGGTTTGAGTCCCTTTATGGAGCTAAACAGCACCCTTAAGGACTAAAAGAAATTACCCCTATGTGCTAGCAATTACAAGCAAGACTTAACTGGATGAGAGAAGCAATTTAATGTCACTTTTCTAAAAAAAATTAAACTTTCTACCCTCTTTTCTTCCTTAAGAGTTTTTTTTGTCTGACTGCAGTTTAGATAACAGTCTTTAAAAAAATACCTCTCCAATACACTGTGTAAAATTAACTCGGGGGAATGAGCCATGGATACATCAAATGATCTTAATATTTCAAATGTAGTTGTCTCTCACAGCTACTTTATTTCCCTTCTTCATAATCCAAATAGTAAATAATGTCTCTGCAGAGCAGTAAGTGCTTAAGATTTTTTAGAAAGTATATACTATACAATACTAAAATCATCTTTGGTTCCAAAAATAAGGAAATTACACATTTACATTTGCTTTTGTTTCACAAAGTGAATCAGATAGTGTTTTTAAAATTACTGTTTTCTTTTGGATTCCGCCCTGAGAGCTATGCTAGGCTCAGGGCATGATGTGAATAATGAATACTGGCATTCCCAGCTGCAAGAATGGGAATGCTCCAGCAGCAGCCCCAGGGCCCACTGGAGGTGTGGCTGCCCCACTCTGCTCCTGTCACTGCAGCTCGATGGGGCTGGGACCTCACTCCACAGAAAAACCCCAAATTACCCTTTTTATAGGCCAGGAAAGGTGCAGGGGTTTGAGAGGTACCAAATCCATAAACCTAAAGAGGCACAGGAGCTCCCAGAGCTTTGCCCTGGCCACAGCGGGCTCAGGGAGCTCAGGAGAGGATCTGGGAATGCTCCTTCAGCCCTGGCCAGTGACAGGGACACTCCTGACAAAATCCCCTTGTAACACCATCCTGCTCCCTGATTTCAGATGGCAGCTCCACTCTAAAAGCACGGATCTTTTTTTGTTTTGTTTTGTCTGGTTTGGGTTTGCTTGGGGTTTTTTACAATCTTTATCCAAACTGCTTTGATGGCAGTTTACAATTCCTGACTGGGTATGCTTGTGCTACTTTTAAATTAAGTCTTTTAATAATTGACATTTCAAACTCTGCCAGTCCTGGGCAGTGCCGGTAACAGCACGGCTGCCACAGCAGTTCTTGCAGTAACAAACTGTAATTTCTTACCACACTGACCATGGAACTGCCACGTCCTGCTCAGGGAATGCACCCAGGTGAGATAACCCCCTGTGGAACGCCTGTTCTAACCCAGCACCAAGAGCTGGTTCAATCTTCTTTTAACCTGGTGTTCCCTTTGGCACAACATTCCAATAAAGCACAATAAAACGTTACTGTAGGAACTGGTAAACCATCAATCACTAAGAAGATACAAATTTTCCTTAACCTCATCAGTAACTCTGAATTTTAATCTCCATCTAGCCACTGAGGTGAAATGCACTGTAGATGTCAATACATTGAAAATGAAAAGGCATCACCTTTGTCACCTTTTTTTCACTCATCATAATAATTCCATGCTGCTCAATTTGAATATTACAGCATTAGGTTCACACTTTCACTATCCCAGCTCCCTCCAGTATTATAAAAGCCCAGGCACTTCTCCTGATCTGCTGTTTGGTGTAACTTGTTTTTCCTGTTAAATACCTTCTCCACAACACACTGCCCGTTGTTCTTAAGGCTCTGGGTGCTGCACTCACCCTGGGCAGGGCAGCCCCAGCAGGACAAACTCAGGCAGACATGGCAAACAGTGCCACTAATTGCACAGATTTTCATTTTCCTCACACCACAAAGGAGTTCAGTTCTAGAGATCTCCTCCCACACACACTGTCTTCACACAGGCAGGCAAATGCCAAATAATGCACTGCAGAGACAAAAACACCAAAGAAACAGAAAAATATCAAGAGACATCCTCCTAATAATATTGTGACATTATCTAGCCCATTACTGCTGAATTTGAGTTCTGAGCAGAGAAAATGTAATTTATTCACTTGAAGTACAAGGAAAAAAAAAAACTTCAGCTAAGTAAAACTATTTCTAAACAAATCAGTACAATAATTTTCCAATTAGCTAAATTCATTTTCCAAAGAAACTTAAGGGGAATAAATCTGCAGAAACACCCAGTTAAAATAAAAATCAGATTTACCTACTACCAATTAAGGTTTAATTTTAGAAAAAACATCCTTCCAAAAAGAAATATTTACCTTACATGAATCACAACATTGCAACCTGAGGAACACTTTAAAAGCACATAAATTTTTGCTAGCTCTTGCTTACCCTGGGCTTAGAGAGAAAGCAAGTTCTAGGCAAAAACTTACAGAAATGTTGAACCTTTAAAAAAAAACGAAAAAAGGAAAAGAAAAAGAAAGCCATGGCTGGAATGTAAGTTTATAGGATGACAACCCCTTCATTCTCTACTGTGCCCCTTAAGCCTCTTTTCTCCACCCCATCTCCTAAATGTATTTATTTCCCACTTTGGAATGAGAACTGGAATGTGTCCCACAGGAGCAGACAACCACCTCGTCCCGCTCAGTGCATGCCCCTGGCCAGCAGCGACCAGCCCAGCCCAGCCCAGCCCAGACCCTTTCCAGCAGCCAGGAGAGCGTGGCACGGGTCTCCAGCACTGTGCAGAGCCTCAGGGCAGGAGGACAGACACACAGACACAGTCTGGGATGGACAGGCCCTGCTGGCTGAGTTATTGCTGAGTGCCTCTGGCTCCTTGGCACGTCTGGCTGCTCCATCTGCTCCCGTGGGTGTCCCTCCTCCCTCGCCAGCCTGGCAGGGCTGCTCTGTCTCTGGGGCAGCTGAAGGAACAGTGGATCTTCAGAGAGGGAAGAAAACAGCTGTGCAGTTAATCCAAAGCAAAGACAAACTTCAGAACAGACATATATTATATATTCTGTGAGCTATATAATATATGCACATGTCTATGTGGAGGTCTTGAGGGGGTTTTCCTTTGGAACCATCACCGTTTTCTGCCTCCGTGACAGCAGCTTCTGCATCTCTGCACACGTGCAGGGCTGGGCATCCTGGCCAACCTCGGTTCCACCTTCTCCTCCTTAAATAAAGCCAAAACCCTTATTCCATGAGGGAGCCAGTGCTGTTTTCCCTTTCAGTGCCACGGGGGTGGCTCTCAGGCGTCCAGGCGCTGGATCTCGGGCCGGTGCACCACCTCCCTGGACTCTGTCCGAGCGCGGATGTAGTCGCTGCTCTGCCGGCTGCTCTGCTGCCTGCTGCTCAGCTGCCACTTTCTAACTGCCAAAAACGTGTTCACAGCGTACACTGCCATTGCCAGGAAACCAAACACCTGCGAGCAGCACAAAGAGATGTCACAGACAAGTCGTGAAAACAAGAAGAAAAGTAGTTTCACAGCAAAGTCCTTGGAAGTTCCGCTTCCTACGTTACTTGCACTGACAAATCATCGTGCCAGGGAAATTATGTTTTTCTTCTCAATGAACTAGAGAATCTGCAAAAGTGGCTATGATCAATGATCCCAGAAAACAGAGGTCTCTGACTACCAACATGACAATTAAATCCTGCAGTGCAGCCCAGGGTAAAGAACTCCCTTGTACAGAAACCTGCTCCTCATCCAGAAGTTCATTCATTCCTCAGGGTGCAACAAAAAGTGACAAGTCCAGAGCAACAACCTCTGTGCTTCTGCAGAACTCATGTGATTTTAAAAACCAGGTTAAAAAGTAAATAAACAAGAAAATAGTAAGAGGTCACCAACTCACACACAAAGTAATTTGTTTGAACTAACTGTTGCAGATTTAAAACCCTGAAGTGCTACTACATTCACTCCAAAGAACAAAAACTCATCTGTACTGAGCAAAAACTAAGCAAATTGTGTAAGCAGCTTCAATTTCTTACTTTTTGGCTCTATCATTTCCATAGGCTTGCAACATAGAACACCAAAGAGAAAGGCAAGTTCAACTGCAAAGTGCTCTCTGCATGTCATTTTTCTGCTGTTCTTGCCTCACACTTTCAGACAAAGCTCCAAGGATGTTAGCATTCTTAAAATAAGAACTATTTCACAGCAAACTGCAAAAGTAGAAGTAAATTGTGATGGCAAAGGCAACAGGTGTATTCAATCAATAAGCAAAAGTTAATTTTAATACAAGGTAAGAGTCAGATAGAAACAAGTTTAAATTCTTACCACAGCAGCAATTTCTGCTCCAGTTTTATGGTTTAAAGCAGCCAGTACTACAGAGGCAAATGAAAAGAAGAAAGTGCTGAGTCCAGTGTTGACCAGATCCTAAAAAAATAAATTCAGCAGCATTACTAAATGGTGATTGTTTGCTTTATCAGAAGTGATGACACAGAAGGTTGGAACAAGAAGTGCAGCAACCCTTTGCCAGCTCCTCTGCAGCTGCCCAAGTGTCCCACGAAGGCAGAGGCTGTCCCACAGGAGCAGCAGGAGTGTGAGCTGCAGCCCCAGGGCTCACCCTGCTCCACCCAGCTCAGTGGGTGCTGACCCAGCCTGGCCAGCTGAGCTGCAGAACCGCAGCTCCTCACATCCCAACAGAGCTCCTGCCCTGCCCAACACCAGACAGGAGCTTCCCCACCCCTTCCTTGAGGCCTGCATTGAAGAAAACTGCATGTCCTGTGCCACTTCTGGGAGTAACGACTGCCAGCAAGGTAAGAACAGAGCTTTTTATCTATTTATTGCATAAGACTGATATTTCAAGCAGACATTTTAGAACATGCTCAGGGAAAACTGCTTTGCACCAAACAAAAGAAAACAACTTGCTACACACAGTTCCTGTCACTGGTGTTCAGATGGTGATACTGCCATGCCTCACCTCAAACAGGGTCATTAACATGTCACTGGAACCAAAGGAAGAATTCTGAATGGCAGGTATTTGCACAAAAATTATTACATCAATACAAGGCTAACTGATCAGACTCAAGGGAAAAATATTCAAGAGTGCAAATAACAGAAGAAACAAAGTCTAGATTAATTCAGGATAAGGTGTTCAGTGTGTTATCATGACACCTTTCACATCTGATATGCATGGACTCTGCACTGTCTGCATGCTCCCACTGAACTGGGGAACACCATTCCCAAACCACAAATTGCTGTGAATGAACAGGTGAGGTCAGGTTGGAGGCATCAAGAAAAGACAATTCAGCAGAAACATCAAATCAGTGAGAAGTGAGTACTACCATAGGCAGAAGGGATTGGAAGAAAACCTTCAATTTGAGATTGCTGTGTTACTCACAGGCTTGAGGTAAAGAAAAAAAAACCCAAAAAACTCAACACAAAACCACAGCGAACATGATAACTCCCATCATATAAAAGCAATCACAATAATTAGAATTCAAGGACAATTTATCTACTTGAATCTCTTCTGCCACATGTAAGGCAGGCTCACTTCCTGTTACAGCTCCTTCACTTTTCCCATTTTTTTTAGTAATTATTTTACTTTTTCCCCAAAGTGCATCTTGTGAAGTGCAATGAGAAGTCAGGCTTAGAAGACTTAAGACACAACTCTAAACTTACTCCACTGGGTATGAATCCCACAGCTGTGCTCCAGTTGCACAGCACAAGGGCTTTGGAGGGAACAGCACTGTCCAGCCAGCCCCAAAACATCTCTTTTCCCAGAACAACTACAGAACACCGCAGGAAGTAACTGCAGAATGGAAGGTTCTGTCACTGTGTTACTCACATAAAACAATATATTTTGAGGGAACTGACTCAGCAACAGCTGGTTACCAAAACTGAGTGTCCAGACTGCACGAGGCATCTCCGTGGCCTGAGCCTCATTTCAAACAGGGACTTTCCCAAGGAATCAGAGAGGTTCCCATGGCTCATGGCCACTTCCACACTCATATCCAGTTGTCACGAGCCCAGTAAGACCCAAACTCTAATCAAATAGTAAAGAAACAAAAGCAAACTGTGGGTCTCACAAATTCCTACCAATTTTTCACCTGCCTGTGTACAGAGGTATTTTTTCCCCCTGCTCAAGCTCCCTGAGATAGATGCTACCTGAGAGGTAGGACATCAAACAAATCCAAATTCTATTAAGTAGCCATTGCAGTTTTAATTACATAACTTTTGCTTTGCAGAGATAAAATTTAAACTTTATATAAACAGCAGCAGTATAAAGTAAATGGCATTAACAGTTTCTCCAAGCATGCTCCTCTGCAGCTCTGAGTTTACAGCTCTAACTGTGCTCCTGCAGTTGCCAACACGAGCTGTGGTTCTCACCTGCACAAACCTTTTTCCCACTAGAGGGGAAGTCTCACTATACCTGCAACAGACCCAGCTTCAACACTTTCATCAAGTGTCCAAAAATTGGACAGTGTACAGAGAAGAACCACAGAAGTTATTGAAAGGAGGAGAAGATTTCTCACTGTATATGAATCAAAGAACCTAAACTGCTTTAAATATTAAAAAGATTGAGCTGTGTACACAAAGACTCCAGTGTTCAAACAATTAAAAACACTTCTTGTTTTAAAAGCTTAATATCAGAAAGCCAACAAAACTGACAGCAAAACAAAATCAACAACTGCCAAGTCAAGGAAGAAGTCATATTCAAAATGAAGCGAATTTTAATTGTAGGAGACCTAACCATCAGAACAAACAGTCAAAGATGTATTTAATATTTTACCCTTTCCTGTCATATAATCCAGGTTATGCTTTTTCAGACACACACATATTTTGTACTTCCTTAGTACACACTTAAAGACCACATGGATGGCACATGATGGTCTATGATTTATGGGGTCAGATATGCTCATTAATTAATCCTGCTGACCTCTGAGGTTTAGAATCTGTCACCCTGGGCACCTTTCCAAAGGAGCACCATATAAGCAAGAGGGCCAGGCCTGCCCACAACACATTTATCAACAAGCTCCATCCTACAAATGGACCTGAAGGCTTCTTTCAAGCTGCAAAATATGAAATCCTGCTGAAATTGCTGATGCCTTTTCTAATGGACTTTGATATGAGTACATCAGCAACTTGTCACTGGCATTTTATTGTAGTTTACTTTTTACAAATAATATCTAATTCCACACAGATAATTCAACAATTCAATCTAAAGAAGTGATTCTATCTTGAGGCTTCAATTTATTAATCTCTGAACTCCACCTCCCCCATTTAAGATAAACCTTTCTAATGCAATTAACAACTGATTCACATTCATATAATTAGGCTGTTTTTTGAAAAAGCTAAAATGAAAATGATTTTATACCCCCAGAGCAGAGTTTGAAGCTTAAGGAGCAATGACAGCAGAAACACTGTCATATACACATGTAATGGTAACAGCACAGATGCAAATAGCAGTGGAGGTTCTTAATCCAAAATGTGAGAGCTACTGCTTAGAGCAGAAAGATAAGAAAAGCAAAAAATACACAATAGTTTTGGGCAAAGTAAAAGGAAAAATAGAAGAAAATAAACTACAGCAAGAAGCAGAGGACACTCCCTAAAATACTGCAAGTTTTTTCCACATAAGAGAAAATGAATAATCGTGACAATAAGAAGAATAAACTAATTGAAAAAATATGATCTGCTTCAAATCTGTCCATTATGGAGCTCGAGTTCTTGCTATATTTATAGACAAAGTAAAACCACATCACAGAGGTAGAAAAATTTCTGCTGAAATTACAGCAACCTCATCAGACAAAGTATGCTGTGCCATAAAATACTGTACAGAGATGCCATCCATAACAGAATCACATCTTTGAGTTGAATCAAACCCACTCCAGGCTGCTGCTGCTCCCTTTCTCCTTTCCAAAATGATTTCAAATGAACAAATGACTTCTGGTCACTTGCAAGTTTATTTGCAAGTGATTCTGTTCAGTGCCCAGAGGTCCTGTCAGTCCAGCAGAGAGCATCCAAGGCCATGGATGTACTCTCTGTCCCACTCAGGGGGGGGACAAGGCAGAGGAGATGCTGTAACTCACGGATGAACATGGGTTTATGCCAAGATAAATATTTTATGCTAGAAGAGGGCGATGCTTCTGTTCTGGGGATTCTGCTGTGAAGGTGGGAAGCCCCATTCCATGATTCTGTAACCATCCCACACTCTTGTTTTTAAGGGTCCAGGCAGGTACAGCTCATGGATTAATGAGGATGGAAAAGCTGAACTGGTGCCACAAATGCGAGCTCTGTTAACAGACCTGGCAAGAGCCACCAAGTCACTGCTGACATCTCCCACGCTGCTGCTCAGCCTTTCAGGCTGGGGCATCACCAGGAGCTGCCTCTGACGCTCAGAGGCTCCAGCAGCATCCACAGGTCTTTATCCACACTCCCCACAACTTCACAAAGCTTTCAGGAACCATTCGATCAACATTCCTGCCCTGCCTCTTTATGCTGTACACCATCCTGCACAAGTGACCAGGTACTCTTTAAAAGGCAGGCAGTGCCATATTGCAGTTGGAACTCATGTAAACAGAGATACGACATTTAAACTGGTGCCTGCTCTTGTAATTTGCTTTCTGAAATCCAAAAGTTTACATCTTGATGGAGACTGAAGTGGCTAAACTAATGTATTCTGGAAGCACATTTCAACAGACTTTGCTACAAAAGGTGACAGAATTCAGTGGCCTGCTGGTGTCTGATTTATCTTCCACAGAAGACAGAGCTCAAAGTAACATTTCTTTTTAGTTTTGTTTTGGTTTGCTGGTTTGTTTGTCAGGGGAAGGGAGGGGGAGTGTGGTTATTAATATTTTTTCATTATTATTTTAAATTTTTTTGGTACAATGACCTTAATTTTTCCTCCAACCAGTCAGTACTTTATTTGCAAGGTTTGGGAACATCATCCCTTGCTTGTACATGAAGTTATCAAGTTGAAGGTTACAAACATACCAGTCAGTCCTCTAAACCAAGCACCTCTGGTCAAACTCCCAGAATTTCGTTCAATTATTAAACACTGTTTGAGTATTTTGCATTACAAATTAAAATGGAAACATCAAGCAAAAATAAGTGCTAGGTAGAAAAAAACGAAATTAACCCTATGAGCATTAATTGCCATCTCTTTTTTCCCCTAATATATTTAAGAGTTACTTAGGTAAACACAAGATACACATAAGCACTGCTTCCCCAATAGAAGACCCCATGAACATGAATTTCAGAAAGTTACTCTCACAAAGCAATAGACCACATCTGCAATAACTACCACAATACAGGATGTTTCTTGTATTTAAAACCTGAGACTGCATTTATTATAGAGTAACATTTATACCATGCACCAAATGAGAAGTCTCTGAAGAGACCAGAGGAAGTGAATTCCTACAGTTGTTTTTAAACTTATTAAATGTTCATTTTTATCCTTAATAGGTACTGCTATGGACCTAATTTTTCATTCAACAGCTAAGGAAAGCAAGATGTCTTTTCAAAACAGAAGAGGAAAAAATAAATTAGTAATAAAAAGCAATATTGCCCTGTGAAGGCCTTTGAGGTTTGTAATTATACTGTGCAGAGGCAAGGCTGGCACAGGACAGTTTTGTCATTCGGGCACTACACAAAATATTCTGCCAACTCCTTCAAGTGTCAGTTGCTTTGCCACACAAGGTTTCACTACTGCAAAAATTAAAAAACAAAAAAACCCCAACCAGCCCTGCAAAGATGATGAAATCAACGTTCAGGCAGCACAGAACCCCCCATCTGGTCTGTGTGTTCTAACACACACACCTGGGTCCCTGTTTGCTCCCCTGGGCTTCCCTGGGACTGAGTCCAGCCCAGTGGAACTCTGATTTTGTGCTGTGCTCAGTTCTGTGCCTTACCTCTAAGCTGGAAAACTGCAGTCAGAACTGGATTCCCAGTCACACCCTGGGACTCCAGCACCTTTCCTGCTCCTTCAGGGCCAGCTTATGCTCACCCCTTGATACCAGACCTTCAGATCTCCCTGTACATCACATGAGATGCAAATCATGAATTTTAGAAAAAAGAAAAAAGGATCATTTAGGCAAAGACTAAACTGTAGCAGAATTCATTAGCTGTCTCTGAAAGCAAACATGCCCGAGCTGCTGGTGGAGCAGGAGCTGCTGTGCTCCCCATTCCCCTGGGCCACTCCTGTCTCCCTGCAGAATGGGCTCCCTTTGAGCTCCGAGACATAAAGAAATGGAAATTTCCACTGACAGGTTCCCCAGCTTTTGCATTTTTGCATAATATTGATAATGCTGCCCAACACAGACAAGGGACTGTTCTTTCATCTTGCTGGAACAAACTAGTCTCTCTCCAACACACCCAGACAAGGCTCTTTTCTGCCCTCACCAGCTCCATGTTTCTTGCAGGTTCACCTCAGGAAAATATGAAAATGACTGGCAAGTCTCTAATTAGGATCAAAACAAATGGCTTTTCCCCAGATGGCTAAAAAGATAAAGTTTTTAAAAATTTAGCAACTTTGCATATCTGTTAGATCCTAGTCTATACTCATCCACATTTTCATTCCAGCCAGGGTCAGGGAACATCTGCCAATATCCACAACACATTGGAAATAATTCTAATTTTAATAAACTTTTAAAGGAAACAATCCTGTGTTGGACAACAGCAGTTGGCCAGGTACATTCTAAGACACAGGATCATTTGAAAGCAAATGTTTTCAGTGGTTCCTAGGAAGAAGTGCTATTTTTAAAGAAAGACTCCTTTCTAAATTTAAGTTGATTAAATTCCTTCAAGCACTGCAACAGCCTCTTCTTCTCACACAGCTTCTAAAAGCAATGCTTGAGACTTCCATAAGGGAAATACGCATTATAAAGTCATATATATTTTTGAAAGCATGTATCTTGATGAATTTATACATAAGCAGGAGTGACTTTCTCCTAAAGCACTGAGGGATGTGAAGGATTGTTGTTCAGAAAGCAACTCCTGTAGTAACTGTGTCATATACGGAGGCTGCAAAGTATAAAAATAACCATCAAAACACAGGGAAGTAATAAATATTGAAAGAGGCAAATAATGTATGAACATACATTTAAATTTTAAAAAATAAAATGCCAAAAAAAGCAAAAGGAAAAAAATGTCAGCCAGAACCCTACATTCTAAAAATTCCTACTACCTTGGCCAAAGTAATGTCCCACAGGTGTTTTATCAGCACACCTTGATCTCACACTCTGTACTTGCAGCAGCAGAAACAGCTGCAGAATCACAGAATGGTCTCAAAACACTCTGAATACTGAAGGTAATCTCTCACTCCTGCCAGAGGAACAGTCACAACTGTTTGTTAAAATCAAATAATCATAAATAAAAATAAAATATAATCAGATTGCTGAAATCTGTAAGAAACACCAGGAAGGAGGATGGTCTCAGCAGTTCATGGAAGACATAAGCTGCCAGTTCCCTTCTCACTTCTGGAGAACTCTGGTATAAGGATGGGAGAAGCATTTCATCTTCAGTACACAACTAAAGAATGAGCCTTGGGAGAGCGTGGCAGACTCCTTCTGCCCCTGGATTTGGCAATCTGAACTGAAGCAAAGCCCTGCAGTCTACTCCAGGTGCTCTTTGCTCATCTCCAACCTGCTCACAATTGCTCCAGTGCTGGTTAGGTAGGGGATGCAGAGCATGACCCTGCTCAAAACCTGAAATACCTTTATAAAACAAAACCAAACCCAAAGCAAACTGATTGGCTTTTTAACCCTGCCCCCTTCCCCAAAATATCTCCTAACAGGTGCTATGCAGGCACAATTGCTGTCACCACAAAGGAATTATTTCTGGACAGTTCAAACACAGAACACCTTATCCATCTACCAAGCACTCCTAGAAGGAGTTCATCAATTAACTATGCAGCCCCAGGGTAGAAAGGATCATCTAATTCCACGTTCCAGTCTCAATTTAACCAAGTCATTTAGGCTGAGAAACTAAGCAAACTGTTACATTAATAAATTACATTTTCAATTTTTTTTTAAATCACACAGAAGCCTAAAAACCTCCAGGACTCTGACAGTATTTTCAAAATTACTTTTATAACACTGAACACTGGCACAATTGTATCTGTACTGTCCAAAGAAGTTGGCATAAATATTGCCCTTGAAGTTGACAGATCTTTTGCTAGAGTGACTAAACATGTTGATTTTGTGACCTGTGTTTATGCAACCGAGTCTGAAAGTTTAACTCAGAGTACAGTATGAAAATAGAGACATGTACAAAAGGAATGTGCACTGCCAGCAGCTCTCTTCCTAAAACTCCTCATATCTGAGAATACATTAAGCAGTGACAGTCAGTGTTTAATAATTAGGTGCATAGGCAATACAAAACACCTGATTTTCACAGAATATACTTAACTTTCTACACTACTGCCCAATGATTGTATTAGTCTATGCAAGAAAATATATGTAGAAAATTTGTCTTAATATAAAAAACCTCCAGGTTAAGAGAGAACAACATGCTGCTGTAAAAAGTTAACATCTATCAAAGTTAAATAACTACAGGCTGCATTTTTATCCACTTCACCCACAAAGCATAATTTCTGGCATTAGCAGGAAATTTGTCCTCCCAAAGACAATCTACCAGAACATGATTTTAGTTCTGTTTAGTGCGGTTTAATCTTGCTACATTTCACAGCTCATGCTGCTGTTAGCATTCAAAATAAATGTAGGTAAAATGTATACTTTACTCAGCATAAAGAACACTCAAACGCAGTATTAAACAACAGGAGAAAGCAAAGCAAAAATTGTTAACACAGTGAGGATTCGATTGAACTTACAGTAAGATTCCAGTTGATCTGGGGTATTCTTGTGTGCAGGTTGAGACTGAACAAAAGCAGGAGAGCCCCGGTGACCACCAGAGCACTGCAGCTCACAAACTCAAAGAAGTAAAGGCCCTCACAAGGGGAGCATTCCATGATGGTCTCGATGCAGATGAACGCGGTCAGCGCCAAAAGCTGGGAAGAAAAACAAGCGGAAAAAAAATATAGATTTCCACATTTTGAAAGTAGCCACAAGTATTCCTGAAATTTCCATTGGGAACATGATCAGTTTACACTCAGGAATGTGTGATTTTAGTTTACAACAGGGCACTCTACAGGGAGCAAAAACAAAAGCTAAGTAATGTAAGATTTTCTGGATTTGTCCCATTCAACAAAGAGCACTAGAGCAAGGAGCCTAATATCAAAATGACCAAGACACCCCAAAAAGCCTGAAACCCCTGGCTGGCAGGCCACTGGCTTAAGATGCAAACAGCACCTCAAACATTTTACTGCATTTTTTACTCATGATACACTATTCCAAAACTAGAAGATGGAATGCATTTGTCAACTCCAAGCACAATTACAGAGTTATTAATGTTGTGTGATTGTGAAAGACATGTCAATAAAGATTATTACTTAAAATTCACTACCAGCTGAGATCTAAATCAATTCAAAATAGAACAGATTCAGGATTTCCACCAGTCTCCAAAAATGCCTGCCTCTTTCACATTTATCATCATCAGTACACTATACTTCATATAAAAGCATATTTTCTCATTCCCTTATAGCACAATAAAACAAGTAGCTAAGAGATGAAGGAAAATCCCCCAGGTGCTACAGTCACAAACATGGAACTGAGATAATGATAGGTCACACTAAATTCAGAGAATGTATTGGAAGAGTTAACGTGTGCACTCTGAATTCACCATTTAGGATAAAATGCTGACACCCACTTGACTTGAAAATAAAGTCTGCCCAGTGGACAAAACTAAAATATATCCCCCTCAGAGCCCAGTATCAGCCAGCAGGGACAGCTGCCACTACTGTGGGACACCACTGGCACACAGCTCCCACACCACGCCTGGAACAGTTGCATGGATGGTTTGGGTTGGTTTTTTTTGGTTTTCTGGGTTTGTTTTTGTTTTTTTTTTTTGTTTTGTGTCTGTTCCTGCATTTTCCAGGACAAGCAAGGAAGGCCTTAAGAATGTTTTGCTTTGGTTTTCAGGATAACCACCCCCATCCACCCACTGACATTTTTTAGAAAGAATTCTCTTCTTGCTGTGCCACAAAATTCTATCGAGGCTGCAGTAAGCACTTCAATCTGAGGATGAGGAACTAAGGGAGATTCTTTCCTCAGAGCCAAATATTCAACAATCTGAATGTTCTGCACAAACTTAAGTTTAGAAGATTGACAGAAGCCAGGATAAAAACCAATTTCTGCTGAATCCTTCTTTGCCAATTTCAGTGTTTTGCAGATACAGTTCCTTCAAGCACTTTTTATGCTTCACCCATTGGTTTGTCTTTGCCTCCCACAACAAAACTTGCAAAATGAAGAAAAAGGATTTTGAAAGAAGTAACCAAGAAAGCATTTTTGCCACTTACATGAGCAGTAATTCTAACAAAAGGACAATACCCCTCATGGTCATTTATCATGTACTTTAGAATAGAGCAAAAAAATGTAAATTTAAAACCAGATTAAAACTCAGCAAAACTACTTCAATAAAAAACCTCACATTTGCATGGAAAGCCTCTCACAGTTCACTTAGCACATGTTCATTGAAGACAGCAGATGCCACACTATTTTTGTCAGCTAACAGAGCAGGCCAATTCTCATCAAACAAATTCTCAATGGATACCAAGTGATTAAACACTTCATATTTTATCTTTGACATTGAATAGCTTCAGGAAGAAAGACCATGAGTGACATGGAATATTTACAAGCAAAGCAGAATGAATCAAAGTCAAACTATGATTTCAGCAATGACACACATACAAAAAAAAATTACTGTCCAGACACAGCCTCATTTTAAAGTATTAAAATTCATGTAATGAAGCTCATCTTCTCTGTAAACACAAGCCTCAAAACTGAAAATGACACTGAATGCAATTTAAAAAACAAAAGAAGTTTTAAAAACCAATCTTTGCTCTTTCAAGAAGAATCAACATCACATATTAATGCTAAATGTTAGCCAGCAAAATTTATACTTCTGGATTCTCCAATATACTAAAGTTTCTATTTTTCTTGACACTATTTTTAACGTATTATGACACTTGTATTTTTTTTTTTCTTTCAAAAGATATAGTTCTGCAATATTCTCTAGAAATACTGTAGCACAAGCCCCAAATATTAGGTTCATTTTCTCAAAACACTAACAGCTCTGAATTGTGCCACCAACATGAGGCTGAAGGAGCCAAAATCTCCGGCACATGAGTTGCTGCACTGGGCAACAATTCTGGTGCTCTGCTGATAAACTTCTACACTGACTCTTCTCCACATCAGGCAGCACTGCTTCTTCAAGGCCAACACACCCATCTTGGCTGGCAAAGCTCGAAAGAGACCAAAGAGTTTCCTGCAAACAGCATTAGAAATTAATTATGTACCGGAGAGGCACTTGGAGCAATGAACTCAAATAATCCTGTGTTATTTACATATTCCCAATCCCAGAATTAATAAACTCCAGAGCAACTCCACATTTAGATTTCATTTTATCCCTTAAGAAACTATAAAATACATTTACCTGTGACAAGCTGTTATAAGAAAAAGGCCATAGCTGTGTACACTTAGGCCTGACATAACCCAAAGCATTTCAAATGCAAGTAAAGATGTGCCATCAGTTTGGGACATGCAGCAGCAGCAGTGTGCAGTGCCTGGGGTGTGGCAGCCCAAGTTTACTGCTGAATTCATCAGAGAGGCTGGGAGAAAACCTCAGCTGCTCCCCTGTCTGAAGGAGGGAGACAGGAAAAGGACAATACTCCCATACACACGATTTATTTCTAACTCTTCGGTACTTCAAATAAGATTACAACTAAATCTGTTAGCATTATTCTTGCAATAAAAATATATCTTCCCCTTCTCAAAAACTGTCCAGGCTGCCAGAGCTACAGATAATACCCTCCTGCCACCTGCCACTCCTCTCTCACAGCAAAGCCATGGCAAAACATGAAATCCACACTAATCAGAAAAAAGTCTTTCTGTCCTCCTACAGCAACTCCTTTTTTCCTAATCATAATAGAAATCTTAATTCTTAATACAAAATATATTATCTATAAACATCAGGATAATCTTGTCCTCCTACACATTTATAAACTTGCCAGAAGCATCCTTCCAACTTGTAGTTACAAGTTATATGAAGCTTCTATAAAACATACCTACTATCACTTTCACTGGCCATTCATTCAGAGAGGAATCTAACTTTGTTTTCAATAAAAAAGTAAACTATTCCGAATACATGAAATGAAAGTGAAATACACAAGGTTGATTGCACAGCCCCATGACTTAGAGAGCTCAAGTGTTGTGCAAATGCTGCCAGGTGATCCAAAGCGCTTCTCAAAGGCCAGGCTCATCCAGTGATAGGGTTCATTAAAAAACCCCAACCATATGTTAACATTCATTATCACTGTGGGTTTTAATTGATGAAATAAATAACTTATGAGGCAGTGTACAATGTAAGTGAGGAGTTAACACGAAACACCCCTGGCTGGCAGGGCAGAGCGAGTGCCCCGCTGTGCACTGCAGGGAAATCCCTTCTCCAGAGCTCCCTGCTCCGCCTGCTGCCACAGCTCCCATCCCAGATAAACCTGCTGCCTTCCCTTCCCATGCTGACTGCACTCTCCTGGGAAGAGCAACCAAGGATCAAGAGCCACCAGCCCTTCTGGGAAGCCCCACGCTCCAGGTGACTGAGACATAAAGCTGTGGAGAAAAACCCCAATTCCCCAACTGCTACAGCTCAGTCCTTGCTTTTTAACACTCAGAAACCAGGATCCTGCTTCTGTCTCCCACAGCTGCAGTTCCAAGACTAGCTAAAAAACCCAGAAAACCAGGAGAATGGCATCATATCAGAGCACAAGTCTTGGCCAACAAAATATGACATTTGTCCAACACAGGAGGCAACCCCCACTTTCAAATCACACATCTTTTCACAGTTTAGGGTGATGAGATCTAACAAGTTTTTCCATCAATAGAAGTTTCAAGGCTGGTTTACCAAGGAAAAATGAGAAGCTGAATGTGGTGGAAATCTCCTCTTACATGAATTACTGCTCTCTCCCACAAATAACACAGCTACAGCTTTCTTGGGCCGAGGCAAGAGAAAGTTTTCTCTGATGGACAAAACAAACCTTTTCATCTGTTTTTCTCTGCACCAAGTACTTTGGAGAGTTTTCTATTCCACTCTAATTCCTCCAACACCCTAAAATTTGTACAGCCCTCTTTTACTACTAATATTTGTCTTTTTTTTATCGGTTGATTTTGATTTCTACTTCCACTCTTCTTAGATTAAGTACAGTGAATGCTACATTAAAATGCAACTTTGTCATGACAGAAACATCTGCTAATTCTGGATGCTCAGGTCCATGCAGAGGTATCCCAGACCAGCTGCAGTAACACCTTTCTCCTGTAAGGATCTGGTCTACAAGGCAGGCTCAGGAGGAACGAGCTATGCTCAGGTAAACTGAGGCTCTGCCAGTGTGTGGCAGCTGCAGTGCTGTGACAGGAGCATCCCTGCCCTTCATCCCCCAGCTGCCACCACCACATCTCACAGGCAGGAGGAAAAAGCCCCAACAAGCAGAGGGTTAAATGTGAGCCATGCTTCCCAGTGATGCCATTTTGTGCTTTTAGCCCTGAATAAACCCGAGTGTTCCTGCCCGGGGTGTGCAGCACTGCCCAGACAATTCCTGCACTGAGCCCCAGAGCAGCTCCATGGAGCCACCACAATTTAGGGCCACAGAATTCCCGAGAGAGCCTCTGCCCCGGGATGCAGTGTCCTTGGAGGCAGCCACATCAGCCTCCCACCACTGCTGCAACTCATCTCAACTTTCCTGCTGGAGAAGGGCCCTTAATGAAGAAATCATCTGCCTCGGGGCTGTGTGAATGGCTCATATTTACATCACTTTCTTGGCAACACAGGCACATCAGACATAAAACATTCTATTTCCCCAAAATGGGGAAAACCTGCTGTGACAGGTATCAACACTGAAAA